GCCCTCCGGTTCACCTCACACCTCTGGTTGAACACATCTGCCAGACGAGATGTAATCTGCAGGAGAAAAGGCCAAGGTTAGAACCACCACTACCAAAAGAGACCAACACATGCCTACTTGCTAGAAGCAGTGTTAAGTACATGAAAAAAAATGCTGATTGAGGAAGCTCTGGTAGCCTAGTGGCAAGAAGCTGTGCTAAAATCCTGAAGGCACGCGGTTCGAATCCATTGCTGGAGAAGGAGGAGAAATCTCCTTCTGTACCAGTTGAATCTGATTTGATGGTACACACATACATAATAAAATTTTTTAAAAAAAATGCTGATTGCAGGATGGCCCTTACACTATGGGTTTGTTACTCCTTCAGCACGCAACTCTAAGTGGAAATTAAATAATCAAACTAAAAATAAAAACCGAAACTTGAAGGGAGCTCTGGTAGCCTAGTGGCAAGAAGCTGCACTGCAATCCCAGAGGTATGCGGTTCAAATCCACGAGATGCTCTGTTGGAGAAGGAGGGGCAATCTCCTGTACCAGTCAGATCCGATTTGACAGTACACACACAAAATAGTAAAATAAAATATTTTTTAAAAAAACCCCAAAACTCAAACTTGTTACCAACTAGTCAATGCCAACTCCTGGGGATGCCGCATTACACAGAAGAACTGCTCCACAGGGACTCCTGTGCTGAACTCTTTGTTAAGAGGCAGCTCTCCAGGCCTTCCTTCTATAGCTAGGCTGGGTGGAGTCAAACCACTGACCTTTAGGTCAGCTAGCAGTCAAAGGAAAGCCATTAGTGCCACCCAGAGAACTTAACTAAGTACTAGGTCTTCAGAAATGCTTAAACACTTTGAGGGTGCTTCCATGTGAAACAATCTTTTTCTGAAGACATCAAACAGTTTGTGGCTGAACGATAACTATTGTAGTTCTGATTAGCAGACGTATTGCTTCTACTTCCTACGCCGACAGCAAACCCTCCCTCCTCCTTATGGATCTGGCTCTGACCTTATTATAAAGCTTGATGTTGGTGCCAGGAGTAGTGGAGCCGAAATGATAGACCAGAGGAGCCTGGATAGAGAAGCCCTCTTCAACATCTGCTGGACGTTCAATATAGAGGGCACCCATGGTCCCGGGGATGGACACGGAACCTTCGCCCACATCCAGTTCCACGTAGGTGGGACGGCGGCCCACTCGCACTGCATAGTTGAGCAGTAGACGGCACACCGTGGACTTGCCCACATCGGTGGGGCCCACGACCATCACCCGGGGTCCTCGTTCTTCCTCTTTCTCCGCTTGCCTCCGCATCTGCTCCAAGGCTGTGTGGGTATTGAGGTAAAGCAGCATTGGGGTGTCCTTGGAAACATAAGCCACTTCAGTGCGGCCACTCAGCTGCACAGAACAGCCATGCCAAGTGAAAACGGCCACCTTGGCACCTGCATCAAAGGTGAATTTCTTGTTGCGCGTCAATTCTGTGCCAAATATTTCCGCCATACCGGCCAGCAGCTCCAGCTGAACTGACTGAGATGCTTCCACCTCAAAGCGGAGTTCAGTTTCTCGCTCAAGTTCAAACTTGGCTGTTGGCTTTTTGTCATCATTGGCTTCCTCTCCCATCTTTCGTATGTAGCTGCTGAGCCTGAAACAGAAATTAAGTATGCGATCTACACACACATCAGGATTCAGAAGCGTCCGATGGGTATTCCCTGTTATCTTGCCTTATTTTTCTTCTCCCACCACCACCTGCTTCACTATTAAATATGCTGTCCTTCTCCCCACAAACTAGAACATAAAAAGCAGGCATTTTGGTTTGGTGCCATTGTCTCTAGTGCCTAGCAGCTTATTAAAAAAAACAAACAAACAAAAAAAAAACTGGGGAGGCATTTAGTTGATTCCAACTCACATCAACCCCACAGTACAGAATGTAACACTTCCATCGTTTCCAAGGCTGTTATGTCTTTCCAAGAGCAAACTGCCACATAGGCTCTGCCATGGCCAAAATCAAGGCTCTCGGGACCTTCATAGCAAGGAGGAAGAGGAGCTGTTAAAAAAACAGCTGGACAAAAAAAAAATAAAATAAAAAAAAACAGCTGGACGACCTCAAAGTGGAGCTTTCCCAGCTGCGCGTCGCCAAAGTGACAGGCAGTGCGGCTTCTAAGCTCTCCAAAATCCGAGCTGTCCGAAAATCTCGTGCCCGTGTTCTCACTGTTATTAACCAGACTCAGAAGGAGAACCTCGGAAAATCCTCTAAGGGCGAGCAGTACAAACCCCTGGATCTGCGGCCCAAGAAAACACCTGCCAAGCGCCCAAGGCTCAACAAGCACGAGGAGAACCTGAAGACCAAGAAGCAGCAGCGAAAAGAGCGCCTGTACCCACTGCGAAAATACGCAGTCAAGGCCTGAACTTCTCAAATAAACACACAAAACTAAAAAAAAAGAAAAGAAAGAAAGCAAACAAAAAACAACCACCTGCCACATCGTCCCCCTAAGGAGGCCTTGATGCGACCACCTTCGGTTAACAGCCTCAACGGGGGCACCACCTGAGCGCCGCGACACACCAAGGGGCCCCGGACAACAGAGGAAAACTATACAGAAGACCGACGGCCTCGGCTCCATCACCTTCAATGCTCTACTGGCGGGTACCCCGCATTTTGGGAGTCAAAACTGAAAGCTCCAACTCACTGCCAGCCACCGACTCGCACCTGATCCTCCAGGGAATTGGAGAGGCGGTCGATGGCCGGGAAAAGACTGCCCGCCCTCCTCCCGCTGGGGGAGTCGCCCCGCAAGTGGGCCGAGGCCTCTAGGTCGGCAAACGCCCGTCCCCCGACCCCCCCTCGTCAACGAAGGTGCAACCGGGAAGGCAGGCACAGGAGGCCAGGTTCGAATACAGGAAACTCCTAAGCCCCGGCTCTGCCGCTCGCGGTGCACCAAGCACAGATCCCCTAAACCTCCCCCCTTCGGCGGCACACCTCCTCACACAGTGTCGTTCGGGAATGAATACGAACTGCAGCAGAGGGAAAGCACTTCGTAAACCTCCACCCGCTGGACAACGCCAAGAATCCATTCCGATCCTAGACCCGCAGTTCTAGGTTCAGCATTGGTTCCAGGCTCGGCAGCGGCGACGGGGGCCGCTCTGCGCTCGTTATCTTACCGGAATCACGGCCTCGAGCCCGGACAGCAGCCGCCAACCTCACTCGCACGAGGCGGGAGAACCTCAGCCAAACCCACGGTCGACAGGCGCTCGCAAATCCCACGCCGGAAAAAATAGAGACTCCCGCGCTTATGAAACGAAGAGACGGCGTCGCGCGACATGGCGTCACAGAAACAGTGGCGCAACAACAACCCCGAGGGCTGCTCGCTAAACTTTCTGGGAGTTGTAGTTTAAAGCAGGGGTTTGCGAGTGACGTCAAAGATGGGCGGGGTCGCGAGCGTCGTTAAATCCGAGGCCGGTGGGCGGAAACTGAGGGCGTGGCGGTTACGCCCGCGCGCGCAGCTGAGACCCGCTTAATCGTCAACCAACCAACGCCCAGACGCGGCCGTTGGGGAGTCGGACCCTTGAGTGTCCGCTCACCTGCCGCCTGGGCAGCGCCAGCAAGTGGGAAAATGAGCAGAACTCCGTCTGGGCACGAGGAACAACCACCTTGCCCCCATTAAGCAGGAATTTTTTTGGTTTTAATTACCAAATTAATTTTTTTAAACTTAATGAAAAATATAACAAAATCCAAACATTTAAAATAAGTACACACCAATAATTCGTTTAAGTAATAACTATAGAAGATGTAAAATAAATTCAGAGGCGTAATTACTTTAAAATACACCACTTCTACTTTTGTCAATATTTTACATTTGTGTATGTATTCCGTAGTGGAAGCAGAAATTCTCTCTAAAAACATTCTTAAATCTTGAAGGAGCAGGAAATTTTGGGAGTCTTCTTCCCACCCAGACACCCTTCACATATACAAAGTCTAGTCATTCACCCTGCTGCCCTCAGGTCGACCACGTCCTATCCAACAGCCTGGACTTTGGAAACCTGTATTCACTGGGCGACTTGGCTGACTATTTTATTTGAGGCAAATCACAGGCTTAGGCTGAGTTTCTGGCCTGTAAGATGGTGAGAATAAAACAGTCTCCATTTAGGGCTTCTTTTGAAGACTGAAGACACTAAAGCACAAGGTCACGTGGGCAGCCTCTAATGTCAGCTATTAAGCTTTCATTATGGGGGAGGGAGGGGGTAGGGCAGGCGAGAATAATGCCATCCATTTGTACAGTACACTGCATTTTGTTCAAAACAATTCTTTCCCAGTCCCCTTGTAAAATTTTATTATCTCTAGTTTCAAATGTGTGTGGAAGGACCCTGGGATAAGGACGTACAGTGCTGGGAATCCTGGTGGCACAGTCGTGGCAAACCTCAGGAGTGACTGGTTTAAACCTTCCAGTGCTGCTCAGGAGAAAAAACTAGGCCTTTTGCACCTCTGAAGATATACAGTTTTGGAAATCCTATAAGGCTAGGATTTCTCTCTTAGTCTAACCCACTGTAAATTCCAATTTATAGCTACCTTCCATGGTATTTTAAAAGAAACAGTCCATTTTTCTTTTGCAGAATGACAGGTGGATTCAAACCACTTTTTGGTTAACAGTCTGAACACTATGCTACCAGGGCTCTTTTTCTCTGTCATTAAATTACGCCAGTGGGGATCGACTCTATTGGCAATGGGCTTGGTTTGGGTTTAGGTTATACAGGGGTTAAGTGCTTTATGCACTTTTCAGATGTAAATTCACTTAATTCTCCTAAGAATCCTGTGCTGGTAGGTACTATGATGATTATTTTTCTTTCCAATCCAGTTCTGAAGCGTCTTCTGACATACTTTCGACACGTTTCAAGGAGGGACCAGTCCTTGGACAAGGACATTATACTTGGGAGGGTAGAGGGACAGCACAGGAAAGGAAGACTCTCTATAAGGTAGATTGATTCAGTGACTGGGGTAATGGGGGTAGGTGTGTCAGAGACAGAGAGCTCGGCACAAGATAGAGCAGGGTGTAGGGCTGTTGTAAATAGGGTCACTATGAGTCACAGGAGACTCGATGATACATAACAACAATCCAATTCACATGGCTAATGCCCCCAGACACATGGGAAGTAGCAGTCCTCACTTCTTCAGGTTTTCTTTGAGGGTCTGCCTTACTTATTTTAGGTTTTTTGTTTTGTTTGTTTTTTTCTTGTGTGTACCGTCAAATCTGATTTGACAGGTACAGGAAGAGATTGTTCCTCCTTCTCCAGAAGAGCATCTGGTGGATTTGAACCATGCACCTCTGGGGATTGCAGTGCAGCTTCTTGCCATTAGGCCACCAGAGCTCACTACTTGTTTTAGTTATTCATCGCATCCCTTTTCCAATTAATTCTGTTAAAATAAGCCACTACATTGCATCAGAGGACAATGGACAGAACTCTCTCTTTCAATGCATGAGGCTTGGGTTCAATTACCATACAGAGCACCACCCCCTGTACAGCCTCCACTCATCTGTCATGGATGCATGTGTGTGGCTGTGATGCTAAATAGGTTTCAATGAAGCTTCCAGACTAAGACAGATGAGGAAGAAAGGCCTGGCAATCTACTCCTGAAAATGAGTCCATAACAATCATATGGATCCTATTGTGCTTGGGTTTGCCAAGAGGAGGGGGGAAACTGGACAGGAGTTAGCAACAGCTACAATCTTTCATCATTATTCAACAATTCAGATCCACTTTCCCTTTGCAGCTTTTCACTGATTGATCTCATCGTCTCCTACTCAAGAAACCCAGTGTCAGCCCCTGATGCAGTTCTGACTCATAGAAACATCTTAACAGGAGCCAAATGCGTCTTTCTTCTGAAGAGCAACTGGTGGATTTGATCTCTTGACCTTTCAGTTAGCAGTCCAACATATAACTCACTATGCTACCAGAGCACCTTGTATCACCCACATTTGTTTGGTTTTACCTCCATGTTGTTGTGTACACTCAAGTTGGGACCCACCCAGTGCTAACCCTCCAGCAGGTTTTCAGAGACAATTAGTTGCTTAAAGGAGAAGACCCATCCTCAGCAGACCAGACCACATGCCTTTGGGACTGCAGTGCAGCTTCTTGCCACGAGGCCACCAGAGCTCCCTCCATGCTCGCTCCCTTTTTACTTAAGGCAATTTCTTCCAATCTTCTAAAAGTCAACTTAATCAAATATGCCCATCTCTAAAGTGTGCCTGATAAACACCATGGTCTTTGCAATTACTTGCTGTGCATCAGAACGATCAGCAATGACTAGTGATGATAGGAGAATGATACCTTTGAGTTGTGATGCTGGAGAAGAGTGTAGAATACACTATGGAACAAACAAATTTATCCTGGAGAGGGTGAGACGAGGCTGCTCCTTGGAGGCAAGGATTCTGAGGCTTCGTCTGACATACTTTGGACATGTTGCAAGGATGGACCAGTCCTTGGAGAAAGATGTCATACTTGGAAGGGGGGAGGGAAAGCGCAGGAGAGGAAGACCTTTGATGAGATGGATTGACTCAGTGGCTGGGATAATGGGGGTGAGTGTGTCAGGGACAATAAGATTGGCTCAGGATAGAGCAGGGTGTAGGCTGTTGTACAGAGGGTCGCTATGAGTCACAGGCGACTTGACGGCACACAAAAACATGCCCATCTCAAGTTGAGTTTAGGAAGAGCCCCCTCCTTCTCGAAGACTCTTCCATTTTGCTTTAAGTAGAGCCAACAACATAAATGCTTACTTTTTTCTCAGTTTGAGTCTTTTAGCTGTCACTGCCACCACTGTAATCCCCAACACCATCCTGGTATGTCCTCAGTCAGCTCTCCAGCTAAATCTTAAAACATTTTCTCCCGGAGTTGATTTCAGTCCGTTGGTTTATCCTTTTTTTTTTTATTTTTTATTTTTTTAAATTTTGTGTGCATGTACCGTCAAATCAGATCTGACTGGTACAGGAGGATATTGCACCTCCTTCTCTGGCAGAGCGTCTGGTGGATTCGAACCGTGTTCCTCTGGGATTGCAGTGCAGCTTCTTGCCACTAGGCCACCAGAGCTCCCCGGTTTATCCTTTTGCTTCCAGACTTTAAATCTGTGTCTGGAAGCATCTCACCTTTCTTTTCCCACTTCCATTGTTCAACAATGGCTCCTCAAATTCCTGCTCCTTTGATATTTCCCTTTCTTATCCTCTGCAGGGATAAAAACACTCTGGCTTTCTTTACCCACTTCTCGGTTACCACCCCTCTGGATACCCACACTGTTTTTGTCAGAATTTACCTTAAGCCTTAGAATCTTCCCTGGTTAGATGTTCAATCTTCCCCTTCTTTTTTTATTAACCAGCAATGTCCCCCATTAAGCAAGAGCCCTTCTTGCCCCTCTTTTCAGGGGAAA